TCCAGAATTCATTGGACATTGCCGATGTAAATCAGTGCTTGTGGATATTGTGATAATAACATGAACACAAACCAGAATCAAGAGCTTAGTTGTAAGTCTAAACTCAAAATAATCACAATTTAATTTGCAACCACGTAAATTTTATTCATTGAACTCAGGATCGATTAAAATTTATTCGCATTTCACGCCAGCTTATTTGCGTAGGCCCTGCAGTAATCCTTGACAACTCGAATTAGAAATAAGTAGGCCAAAAGTAGCATAGGTGCAGAATGTTATGCTGGCATTACTGCTTATACTTAAGCATTAACATAGGAATGTAGTGCCCACGCCTGGCGCCAATGTTGGTCTGTACTTGGAAGTCTTGGAACCAATAGCCCAATGTTTGAATTCAAGTCAGTTGTGATTGCGCACAGACTATACGATCTGTATACTTCCCCTCAATAAAATTGGATTTTTCGAATTCACCACATGTTGAATATTATACTCCTGAAGATGTTGTACACTTCTTCTTGGCATATGCCAGATTTCAGTCTGACCGACTAGAATCATTAAAGAATTTAAATCAAAATATGTATGATTAATAAAAATATACCTACTTTATAACTTAAACTAATATGATAAAGAAGTTTTGTAAGTTTATATGTAGGAGGTAAGCTTTGGAACTGTTGGTCGTTTATCGAAAATTATTTTACTGATATCCTGTTACTAAGTGCTCTATCTAAGCTTTAGAACATCACGCTACGCTCCAAGCAGCGAGTGAAATCGCGCGAGAATAGCTTGTAATAACTAAAGAAAAAAAAACAAACATCAGGTCAATTAGGTATATGCTAAGGAAAAGTATGTAAATAACATCGCGTACTACTGATTAGAGTTTCTGTTTCTTGTCTTACATTGAATTATACATGACTAGAAGCTATTTGTAATCTTACTACGCTTTTTACGAGCGTGTGTGTCTAATTAACGAAGCGTAAATTTGATTGATTTAGAATTTTAGCGTTGATTAGTATTAATTTCTTGATTAATCATTACTTTTGTATTAGTTGATTAACTCGTAGTTGTTATTGAGTTTTAAACATTTTTTTATGTGTTTAAATTAAATATGTAATTATTTATTGTTACGTATGTTTTTGGTAAATTTTCATAATAATAATGGAAATAAATTTTTAAATAAATAAATAGGTACACGTTTAAAATGAAATAACTCAGACAATATTACCTTATTGCCTTGACGATATGATATAATTTTATTTCACAATTTATGATTCGCTACTGTGTAGATAGTGCATTTACACATATAGAAATATTAAGGTGTAAATAGTAGCATTGACATAACATTTAATCTGGACTTAATAATCCATAAAATTATCATTAATTTACACGAACCAAAATCGATTATCTACAGAAATGTAAGAATTGGTTTTTTATCAAATGTATATCATGACATAAAACGCCATAATTAATCTCTTTGGCAAAACTGGGCAACAACTATTTGTCTTCAAAACCAAATGAAGAGAAACAGCTCACTTACATTCCTAAACTCGTCCAATAATTGGACGGCAATGTTTGTACAATTGTTTCACCAACTGTTTGGCCAAAGTACAATCATACGGGTACCATCTAGTATTAATATTAAAAGGTTGTGTGTAAGGATTGGCTTGATTTCAATAGCAATAAAATATAGATGTTCAACGAGAATACCAGCGTTGGGAGTATATTTTTTTTTAATTACTTTTTAATGATTTTTACATAAGTATGGTATAGTCAACATATTTGCCGATAACGTCTGTAAATCATTCTGTATATAGTTTTCTTTTTAATTGCCCTAGGATGCTATGATTATAGTAATATGTTATGTCATATGCATATGAAGTCAGAATCGATTCGATGTTGATTTAAAAAAGTTATTTAAGGAAGTTCTCCTTTCTAATGACACCTAGTCTTTTAATTAATTCACAAGTAAGGAAATTATAAATCACATCAGCCACAAATTAAGAGAACGCAAGAATTATAAAAAAATAATCGATCCTTAATCAACATTTATTGGGGCAGTAGTAAATAAATTTTCTATTAAGTAGGTACATTTAATTTTATTCCGTTGAAAGGGCAATTACTGATTTATAAAATTTTACGGATGGTAAGCATTATGTACCAACATTCGCATAAACCAGTACAGAACAGTTAATACTTTTAATATTCATCTAGCAAACGTAATTAAGGCAAGCGTTTGCGCAGCTCAAAGTCAATGACAGTTTGACAGCGCGCCAAATATGGCGGTGACGGCTCCTGTCAACTACTCCCGCCTTTAGGGCTGTCAAATTTTTAAATAAATACTTTTTGTGTCACAATGACAAGATGGATGATGGAAAATAAAAGTAATGTTATGTTTATGGCATTTCGATGTTAATTTGAAAAGAGAAACAAGTCAATGCGTTATATTTGGAACCTTTTGAAGGCAGAATTAAGTGTCTTCATGGTTTTCGTTCTTCATTTTTTAAGTCTGTGTGACGTATGTACATGTGGAGGGAGTACCATTAATAATATAAATTAGTGATGTAGCTTTTTGACTTCATATAAATTATACTTTTGTTACGTCAACAGGGACAATTTTGCAGAAACAATGTTTTTATGTTATTTTATATTTACTTATTTAATGAATTCTCAACTCAGAATCAGAATACAAAGCATAAAACCCTTATCTGTAATTAAATGTAAATAGGTAAACACGCGGAAACCTAAATACAACAACAATAGCCAACATGACAATGATTTACAATGAAATGTCAGTCGCAAATAAAGTTTAGATTGACAACCCTACCGTTAGGACCATAGATGTCAAAGAATCGCAAATCGCAGATATACCTGGCCATTATTATTCTCTATGACCTCCGAGTGATGAGCACAGAATAAAATAATCTGTAATGGATATTATTTCTAAACAATAGACCAATCTTTAGCCCCCGTTATAATCGTTTGTGTTAACTTACAATTAATTCTTATCGCGTAAGTAATCCGTTAATCATGGTTTATTTCAACTTCCTATGATCAATGGTTTATGGGGTGCGATTTAAAGTTCGTCTATGGATATTATTATAGGTACTTAGGTAATAAAATCATTTACTAGGTATTGATTTCTAATGAGATATGATATTATTATCTTTTTGGTTTTAAGTTTTCTCTGGTGTCGTGTGTGTACAAACATACAATTTCACACAGGTACACATCTTTCACGTATACACATTTTTCAGGTACACATTTTTCTAATCACGAGTTCTTTCGTGCGGGGAACCCGCGAAACAGCAACCGGATGCCCAGTAAAATAGTTACTATTCATCATTTACTAAGAATCATAATCTTTTTATTAAATTACTCCATGGCTCTTAACGAAGTGGATATCAGATTTTTACAAGGACTCCTTTATACCTAATTTAAAACTATTACCCGCGTACATAAATTCACTACCTAGCCAAAATATGGGACTTGGGATCTTACCACAAATAATAAGCAACCTAATCATCAAACAATAGTCATCAGAACAATCCCAGGTCTTTTACCTCCCGAAAATATGAAGTATGGTGTGTTAGTATGCGTCACCGAATAAAAAAAATATCCGAAAATAGGTAACTCAATTCTATTTAGCAGACGAATATAAATAGAAATAGATTGACACCCATAAATAAAGGCTGAGTCTACCATATACAATTGAACAATGATCTAATCCGTTGACTTCGTTTAGTGTCAACAAGAGACATAATTGTATTAAATAATATAGGTTATTGACACTATCCTAGTTTGTAAATTGTCGTTTTAGATTTAAACTTTTCGACTTAAATGATTTGTTACCTACGTTTTGATCTAAACGATAAGGTATTTAAACAGTTTAACTAAACGATTGGTTAGGTGAATTAACATAATAAGTTCAATCAATGTTTACAATCGTGTATTTAATTGTTAAATTCGACTTTATTTATTATATAGATTTTTTTGCATAACAAAATATTTTCGTTATTATGCTACTGGTGTGTGTAAATGCAATGTATAATATTAATATAAAAATAGTAACAATTAATATTGTTTTAATGCTCACTCAACAAAACATCCGTATATTGCCCGAAGTAATTTCTGAGACAGGTCCACAATTTAGTAAAACTTTGTATGAATTTGCAGAACGTGCTTAGTCCAATAGTATTGCTAGCACCTAATAGTTTAACATAGATTTTAAACTTTGGCTATTTATGTTAACTATAATAAACGTTTGAAGAGTTAATCTGGGTTTACGATGGACTGAGACGAATTCATTGGTTACAGTGCAACTCACCTATTGTTAGAACTTTTATTTGTTAAGACTTAATTATTTTCGTTTTATGTTACACTTATTCTCAAATACTTGCAATTTGTTGCTTATAGAAATCCATTTTCTAAATAAAAATCATTAGAATCAATACAACACTAACTTATAAGATCAGCACGTTGATTCTATAAAATTTGTTTGTTTTTGAATCTTGTTCGAGTTTGAAGTGACGGGGAAATTTTAATTACATTATAGAATGCCACTTTTAGCGTCATCTCATACTTTATCTATCAAAATATTGAGGTCAATTTAGTTGAACTCGCAAGTGTAGCGCTAGCACTATTCACAGCGGATTCAGATTCGAATTTAGAATGAAGTCTTAAAGAACCACACTGCAGGACATTGCCGAGAAAAGTCTTTGCACGCAAAGAGAAAAATTTTTAGAATTAATAAGAATGTAATATGGGAAGTAATGAGCGTGCTCTTTCTTAAAAGGCCGACAATGTGCCTGTGATTCTTCTGATGTTGGTCAGGTCCATGGCACACGTCTACTCGTATTTCGTAAAAAAAACCCAAAACCAAAATATAGTTGACTCCATTCGAGGTTTTAAGCAAACCTTTGTTATTCAACTTTAGCCCACCTTGCTAGCGACCATTAGACCAAAACTCTTTGTATTTGCGTTGTCCTAAAATATGTTTGTTTTGTTAACAGACCGCGTCTGAGCAGCGAGCGTCCGCCCCCGAGGAGATGCAGGCGCGACACAGCCTCTGGTGGCATCTACTTATTGATCTACCTATATTATTATTAGGTAAGTGTTTTACTATTATGGCTACCTACATTGCTTGTTTGATCTGATACGATGATTTTAATGTTATTTCGGTTGGAATTAAATCATACAAAATGAAGCGGATTCCGTTGGTAATAATGAGCAATCAAATTTTCAAGTTAAGTAAATGAAAATCTGAAAGGATCTGAAGGTTTAATTTGATTGATGAAAAATCATATCTGGTTTGTAACCTCAACTTACTTTAACGTTTTTTGAAAACCTACGATTGATAAGAATACTGGACCTCTAACTCTCTTACCCTAGGTAGAAATGATAACAGACTATTATCACCAATAAAAAAAATATAACGAAGATTTAAGACTTAGGAGGATAGAAGAGAATGAGAGACTTCGTAAAAAACCTTCCCACATCCTATACATTGACCAACAATGTATTTGTTTAAAAACTAAGATTGACAAAAAAAAACATTACATGCAAACACAATTGCAATCAAAAGCATAGCCAGGGCCAGCGCAATGATTGCTTACCATTCTTACCGTATGCTTGTTTGCCGGTCTATTACATAAAATAAATTATCTGGGACCACGGCCCCGGCTATGACCAGTAGAAGTTATAAGGAGCTTTCTAGTCAGTAAGAGTCTGACTCTCCATTTTGGCGGCAGCAGAAGTTAAAGGACGTATTTACCCTTTCCAAAAAATATTTCAATACTCAAACAAAAGCAATCTGAGCTGACTTAAACTTAAACTAAAGAAGTACTTATGAACTATAAAGTAAGTTATAATATGTTATTTAAGTCATTCGATGACCATTTCCTTATCACGGGTACTTTATTACTTTACGACAGCAAGCTGAGGATGTAACGGGACTCATTCAGTGCATAGTTGTTTAGCACAATAAACTCTAAATAGCCTATTCATAGTTATATTACATAGCCTAGAAGGCCCTTAAGCTTTGTCAGAATTCCTTTGTTATTCATATCTCTGCATGTAGAAAAGAAGTAACAGAATGAGTTGTTCTAGACGTTTCTATATCTACAACTGGTGAAATCCCATTGTTGGAGTATATTCTATATATAAACTAGAGCCTAGAGCAGGAGAAGGAACGGGGAGCAGGGTTAGTCAGTAAGAGTCTGAGACTTCTTGCCGCTTCTTCTGGGCGGGAGAAGGCATTTGATGATTTTCCTCTAACAAAAGAAAGCGTGTCCATAATGAAGCTACTGACTTTAAACTTCTGTTGGAGGATTTATTTCCTGCAACATGTTGTAATGAGGTATCGATAAAGACACTTTACCGTCCTCATAACTTAAATAACTCCTTTATTTTAAAACGCTTAGAGATAACATTCAAGTTTTAGTTAACGAGTATGACCATTAGGTCACTCTTTGAAAGTTACTAAAGATTAGATAGCCAATGGGCTCAATGGATACTTTACTAGAATGTTCATCTTCAGCTTTAGTAAAATCTACAAACACAATCAAACTTAAAAATGATTAGTGTTCCGTTCAGAGTCGTTGCGTGCAGGCTGTAAGCAAAACTTTAAGAGGAAATTTAATAATTAGAGAAAAACGGACGGCGTTTGCAAAATTTATGAATTACTACAAAAGTTAATTTTGAAACGCTCTGCTTATCTCAATAATTTAATGTTTTCAACGCCAATTTATTTTCCAAAACCTCTTATGACATACTTACCTACCGATAAGGCTATACCTACTAGCCGATTTATATACGCAAATATGTCGTGGATAGATTTGACCTTTTTGTAGCCGTATGCCTGATGCTCGCATTTATTTCAACTAAACCATAATACACAGATCCTTTTCCAGGTTCATTTCTTTCCGTATCCACTGATCACAATCAAAGAATCTTTATACCATATTATTTAGAACCTTATCTATATCTCCATAAAGTCTAGACCAACATAGCCTTTAAAGTACTAGACAATTTCCAATTCATAAAGCCTAGTTCTCACGTGTTTACTTCAATAATATCCGACTAACGGGTTACTGTGTTGTGAGAACTGTCCGGTTTTTGCTAGAGTGCCGCTGTCTTAGGAGAATTCGGATTATCTGGCTGTAGCTGATAATTACTGGGTAATGCGATATTAATACTTGAGCGGCATTTAATAAGTGGTGTTGTGGAGTTAGAGTTGAAACTTATAAATAAATTTAATAACGGACCTTTATTTTATGAGGAGGTTTACTTTAGTTGTAGTTCCTGAGACGCGCACGATTCGAGTGTTTTCATTGTTGTATTAATTGCCGATTCTGGCTCCCAGGAGATACAGCGGCTTAAGATGACAGCGCCTGGTTTGTCACTTTTTGAAATAAGATCTGTCTTAAGACTCTCGCTCTTATAAGGCAGGTGGTTGATGCATCTAAAGTCAGGAAAAACTTTTCTAATTGTTTCTAAATGGTTCAGTAAAAGCTTAACTTGAGCACAACACATACATATACAGATATATAGGTATATATGTAAAATAGTCAAACTTTAATGCATACATGATAAGAAAAAGTACATAAAGAGGACCTAATAGCAAATGGCATTCTTCTAGTCAACCTTAGTTTTAGTGAAAAATCAGCTTAACTAAGCTTGGTTACTGATTGTGATGATTCGTAGGCTTTTATTTTCTTTCACAACGTTTTATAGCATAATTAATTATGTTATAACGCATAGGTAATGTTGCAATAAAAAAATATTAACTACAAATAAATTGATGAATTACAAACCAGAAATCACGTGGCTGACTCATATAAAAATATATTAAAACGCACTATGTACTTAGACCACGTTTTTGTTTCGTCAATAGTTTTAAGAAACTACGCACAATTTTTTAAAACAATCGTATTTCGTCAGTGATCGACTCAAATCAAATTACTTCAAGTCATCGAAGTGTTTTAGTAAACATTCTCTGTGAGAACTTAAGTGCAGTCTCGGCCAGGGGTTCTCAAACTAAGGGCTGGTAAATCTGTTTTGGAAATTCAGACGATGTAACGCACCTATTGTTCTTCAATTGTGTCTCGAATTAGGCATTGAAAAAATTAGGCATTGAAAGATTTTTTACAAAGTTATTAAAAGCTATCAAACACATTGCGAATACAATTGTAAAAATACCTTTATTTTTGCTACTTATTACATGGTTTTTACTTCACAACAACGAATTATACGCCTATTTGTTTAATAGGTACTCAATACATACCTGCCGACCATGATTTCAACAAACGAATTTAATATCTTACGCACTAAAACGCATGATGATGCGCTGGCGCATCGCATTACACAAGCTCCAACAGTTGAGAACCCCTGCCGCAACCTATAACGTTACCATTTCACGTGAACAGATGCCATGGTACGCATGTGTGTGTGCTGTTACACGTGTATGTGTAACATGAGAGGATTGTTTATAAATTCATTGTCAAGCAAAGAATGTTTACATGATTGTCATATGCAGATACCTCGTGAATCCACTGATAGGATCTGAGTCAGACCACCTGGTTGCATCTAAGATGGGATAGTACTAGCACGGAGATTATTCATATTATAATGGATCTTGGAAAAATTTTTTATTTCATATGATTCTTAATATGCTGCATTTAATTTTAAATATTAGTGAAAAGATATGCTGATCTTGACCAATACTTGACATGACATTTGTAGAACGTCAGAATCTCTGCGTGTCTTTATTATTGAAAACTGTACTTTATAAATTATAAAACAATAATGGTTCATGAACAAAATAGAAACAAGAGGTACTAACAACAAAGAGTTATTTTAGACTATAATCTAAATATCATCAAAATCTATTCGTCAGTCTTTACGTAAAACAGTTACAAACATCGACTTTCATTACAGCGCTTAATATTAATAGCATTTACAATTATGTACACTATAATTTTAGACTACATTTTACTTCACTCTTACATAACCATGAATAAATTTAGGATGATAGCTGGGGTTTTTTTTGTGAGAGGAAAATCACCAAATGACTTCTCCCGCCCAGGGTAGGGCGGGAGGGAGTGTCAGACTCTTACTGGCTAAAAACCCCCCTGTTCCTTCTCCTGCTCTGGGCCGAGGTCGCGGTGCCTCATTGCGCTTACCTCGTAACCCCGGATGATCAGCTGGGGTTGCGGGTCAAGCACACTACTGTATCGACCTGGAGCAGGAGAAGGCACGGCATGGTTTAAGTCAGTAAGAATCTGACACTTCCTCTCGCCACAGCCTAGGCCGGAAAAGCCATTTGATGATTTTCCCTTTACAATTAAAAAGCGCAATCGTGTATCCTCCTCCTCAGGCTTCTGTCTGAAGCAGGTCAGAAGGCCTACCATTACGTGTTAAAACGTCAATCTTATGGGCGAGAAAGAGGGAAGGAGCTATACACCTTTTATAGCTCCATCCCTTTTTCCCGCCCGGAAGATTGACGCTTTAGCAATCTTCCCACCCAGGGTGGTAGACGGAACTTATAGACTTTCCTACTTCAAAAAGAAATGGTAATCAAAACCTGATACTTTGTTGATCTAAGAACAGCATATTGACAACATCTTCGCTCATCATTGTTTGTCCAAACACCTAATGAGTAGCTATTACCTATTCTTAAGTTACATACAAGTTGGGTGGTCGGTGTCATGCATGTCATTTGATACCTTACACTGTTGACATAACACTGACATTGCTTTGACACCAAGTCACGAAGTAACATCGCCCACACAACTGCATGCTTCTATGATTAAACAATTAAGATTTTATGACATGATTTTGTGTTTTATTTTCTCGTTAATTAGGTCGATTGTTGTTTTTTTTATTTCACTCGATTAACATTCAGTTGTGACATCGTAATTAAAGTTTTGTAAAATGTTTCATTAGTAAACTTCTACCCTATAACATTCTTGAGGTACCGCAGGCTAGGCGCAGAGCAGGAGAAAGAACGGGAGGGAGGAGGGGTTTAGTTAGTAAGATTCTGATATTCCCTCCCCCGGGTGGGAGAAATCATTTGATTATTTTCCCCTCACAAAAAACCCTACAATATT